ATACTCACCAGCAGACGCTCTGCTTCCCCCGGGGACTGCACCATAACATGTCTCAGGTTGGCCTGCTCTCTGTCTTCTGTCTCCTGCTCAGAGACCACAGTGGACAGTGATTCTCTGCTATTCAGCATGTTGTTGCGAGCATTGTCCAGAGGCTCAGGCCCTCTTGGGGGATGTGAGCGCCAGAAAAAGACCTTGGGAAGGCAAAGAGCTGACTCAGGAGTCCTACCCACACACCCCTGCAGGGTCACGGGGAACATGGTGGGTTTTGCCCCCCACCTACCCTCATGCTGTACCCCTCCCCCAGGTGGGCACAGACAGCACACTCAGGACTCTACTGCTGGTACCAGGACACTGGTGCTGTGCTAAGCGGGGTTTAGCACCCCTACCTGACACCCCAATGCCCCAGGGTCCAGGGTTATGGGTACGGGTGTCCCACAGGCAGTAAGAAGGACAGGGCTAGCACTGCCAAAAAGCCTCTGGGCTGCTCAAATGGACCAGTTGCTCTCCTACAGTCATCCCAGAGTCCCCAGGCCACTTAGAGAGCCAGGGGCCACAGCACAGCATAGACTGGGGCCTTGTTGTGGATGGGAAGCAGTTCCTGAGGGCCTGATGCCACCAGGTCCTGGAGAGACCAACTCACTTTTTCCATGCACTTGGGGTCCACTCCACAACCTAGAAGAGAAGAAGCTTCCACTTTAGCATTGGGGAGGGCCCTCTTGCAGCACCTCCCTCCCCTGGGACAGTGCCAGAGACAGGGTGTGGGCTGGGGGCTCAGGCACTGAACAAGGAGCCCTGGGCCTGGTGACAAGGAGGGGGCCATTCCAACTCTGGGGAGCCCCCGGGGAGGGAGAAGAGAGGAGGGAAAAAGGAATAAAATGAAACATATGTAAAATCTCTGTTGGAGTCTGCTGAACAAAGCCGTACAAGACTCCCTGACCCTCTCCTCCTGAATCCTGTCACCCAGTCAAGGTGCTCATCTCCTCTCTGCCCTGCCTGGGGGCCCTGAAGATATTAAGAACTGGCCCTGACCCCCTGGACTTGGCCAGGAGGATGGGGGGGTCCATCAGCCAAGATGGGGGACTGATGTGATCCTGGCACCCACAGGAGGAGGTGAGGTGGGAGGTGGGAGGTGGATGGGTATCACAGGGAACAAGATCAGAGCCAGGCCAGGAAGAACAGGAGGACTGGGGAGATGAAAGAGGGGGCCAGGGCCTCCCCTTCCTTCCCGGTACCTCACCTTGACGGCAGAACTTCCACAAACAATATGCAATCAGCACCAGCCCCAGCAGGCCAAAGGTAATTACAATTCCAAGCACCAGCTGTGAATTGCCTGAGGAGGGAGAAGGAGTGGTGGGCGGCCCTGGGCTCATGGTCACTGGCTTTCCAGGAACCAGGG